TAACTCACACTCTATACAAAAATTAGCTCAAAACGGATCAAAGATCTAACCATAAAGATTGAAACTCTTCTTGACCTTGGATTTGGCAATAGATTTTTAGGTATGACACCAAGAACACAAGGAACAAACAGGAAAATAGATACATTGGACTTCATCGAAATGAAAATCTTTTGTGCACCAAAGAACCCTAAGTGAAAAGGCAACCTACAGAATGGAAGAAAATGCTTACAAATCATATAGCTGATTCAAGTCCATTATCCAGAATCTAGAAAGAACTCTTATAACTCAACAACAAAAATACAAATAATCCAGTTTAAGAATGGGCAAAGGACTTGAATAGACCTTTCTCCAAAGAAGATACACAAATGGTCAATAAACACACAAAAAGATGCTCAACATCCTTAGTCATTTAGTCATTAGGGAAACACACACACACGATACCATTTCCTATCTACTAGGATGACTATAATAATAATTCTTTTTTTTTTAAGATTTTGTTTATTTGACAGAGGAAGACATAGCAAGAGAGGGAACACAAGCAGGGGGAGTGGGAGAGGGAGAAGAAGGCTTCCCACCGAGCAGGGAGCCAGATGCAGGGCTCGATCCCGGGATCCTGGGATTATGACCTGAGCTGAAGGCAGACGCTTAACGACTGAGCCACCCAGGCACCCCTATAATAAATAATAATTTTTAAATAGAAAAATAAGTGTAGTGAAAATGTGGAGAAACTGGAACCGTCATCTGCTGCTAGTAGGAATGTAAAATGGTGTAGCTGCTGTGAAAAATAGTGGTTCCTCAAAAAGTTAAACAGAATTACTAGGTGACCCAGCAATTCTACTCATAGTTATATAACCCCAAATTTAAAAAGCAATGTTCAAACAAAAACTTTTGCACGCATGTTCATAGTAGCATTATTCGTATTATCCAAAAGGTGGAAATAACTCAAGTGTCCATCAATAAATGAACGGATAAACAAAATGTGGTATATCCATACAATGGAATATTGTTCAGCAACAAAAAGGAATAAGGTACTGATACAGGCTGCAATATGGATGAACCTTGAAAAGATTATGCTAAGTAAAGAAGGTGACAACAAAGACTACATTTTTTATTACTCTATTTATATCACATATCCAGAATAGACAAATCCTTGGAGACAGTAAGCAGATTAATGATTGCCAGGGGCTGGGAGAATGACAGATCAAGGAGTGACTATTAACAGGTACGGAGTTTCTTTTGGGGGTGATGAAAATGTTATGGAATTAGATAATGGTGTTTGTTATACAACATTGTAAATGTACTAAAAGCCACTGAACTGTACACTTTATTTTTATTTTATTTTTTATTTAAAGATTTTATTTATTTATTTGACAGAGAGAGCACAAGCAGGGGGAATGGCAGAGAGAGAGGGAGAAGCAGACTCCCCGCTGAGCAGGGAGCCCAATGCGGGACTCGATACCAGGACCCTGAGATCATGACCTGAGCTGAAGGCAGACGCTTAACCAACTGAGCCCCCCAGGTGCCCCTAAACTGTACAATTTAAAATGGTGTACAATTTTCCCAAATTGGGAAAAAAAAACACCCTAAAAGGCAGATTCAAGAAGGAAATTAGAAGTTAAGAATAGGGGCGCCTGGGTGGCTCAGTTGGTTAAGCGACTGCCTTCGGCTCAGGTCATGATCCTGGAGTCCCGGGATCGAGTCCCGCGTCGGGCTCCCTGCTCGGCAGGGAGTCTGCTTCTCCCTCTGACCCTCCTCCCTCTCATGCTCTCTGTCTCTCATTCTCTCTCTCTCACATAAATAAATAAAATCTTAAAAAAAAAAAAAAGAAGTTAAGAATAAAAGACGAAGATGACATTTTTATCCTCAACATATGTCATGATCAATTATTAAACTGACCTTGTAAAGTTAAAAGATTTTGCTGCAAACAGATTGGGGTTGACTACACAGGTATGGAAACTGTGTATTCCAGAACTTCTTATAACAATCTTATTTAATTGTACTATTTTCCCCCCAAAATGATATATTATATATAAAACAAAAAACGGGCTAGACAGATAAATAAGTATACTTACAATTTAAATAGTGGGTGATTCTACCTGCCTATAGACAGGGCCTCATGAGCCTTGGAAAGGAATTTGGGATTCCTTTTAAGTCAGGAGTGTCTTGATAAGGCTCAAATTCTAGAAAAGTCATGGTAGCTGCCCTGGGAAAATGACATAGTAGGGAATGAGTCTATTTGCAGAAATCAATTAGAAACCTTTCAGTGGTTTGGATGAGACTGATGGCGGTATGTACAGAATTAACAGAGAACATCACCAATTTATTATATTAATCAGAACTCTTTCAAAGAGACAAAAATGACCTCAAGGAAGCTCTGTTATAAGTGGGGAACTGTTGGCCCCAGGAACAAAATCATGGATAAAGGCAAGAGAGCTGCTGGCTCTTTGATGACTGGATAGGGGGGAATGGAATGCTGCCATCTCTTTCTATTTTTGTTCTCATCTCTGCTTATCTCTGAAAGTTAGCTGTTCCCTCTTTAAGCCTGGGAGCGTACATGACCTGTTGGTGGCTCTGAAATCATGTCTTTACAGCTTCTGATGAAAGGAGACCAGCTGTCTTTGATTTGGGATAGATTCAGAATGTAGTATCCCAGGAAAAGCTGCCATTGGCCAGGCTCAGATCATGTGCTTATACCTGGATTCCTCTCTGTATCCAAGGGGAGAGTTACTTTGATTGTTTAAGGAACATGATCATGCCAGTGGCCAAGGAAGCAAAGTCTATTACCAGGTAATCAGAGAGAAGATGCAGGCAGTCCTGAGCTGACACAGAGGCACTGAAGAGTTAACAGAACTCAGCGATTGATTGATTATGGAGGAAGGACAGAAATGAGCCAAGTGTGACACTTAGATTTCCAACATCCTGGGAGGATGTTGGGGCTGTGCTCTTAGACAGGAAAGAGAAGAATAGAAGCAGTTTTGAAGGAGAAGACAATGCGTTCACATTTGTATCTGGGGAGTGTTAAAGAGCCATGGGACATTCAATTTGAGATGCCTGATAATAGGCCTGATTTTCAGGCAGAAACAGCTGAGCTGGATGGAGATTTGGGAATCATCAGCATCGAGAGCATCCTTGCAGCCCCAGGACTGGAGGCCATCTTCCAGAGAGAATGTGAAGTGAGAAGAGTGGTTGAGGACAAACTCTGGAGAGCACCGCCATCTGAAGGAAGGACCGAAATAACTAAGAAGGAACAGTAAGGAGGAAGAAACCAGGAGAGAATCCTATTATGTGAATTCGGGTTCACACTGGTTGGAAGAGCTGCAAGGAAGGATCACAAAGCTGGTGGCAAAGTGAAGACTCTAAGAAACTCATAACCTCTCTAACAAGATAAGAACATATCAGCTAACAAAGCAAGTAGTGTATGATAGGTGCCAAAATGAGTTCTAGGAGGGAGGGAGAGAGGAAGCATTATGGATTGGGGTAGCCAGAGGAAGCAGGATTTAAGCAAATACGCCCAAATGGCTAAGACTTGAGTAGTTGGACGGTGGGAATAGGAGGAGCAATTCCAGGTTGGAGGATTTCATGAACAAAGGAGGAACTATACCAGGAACATTCAGGAGACTTGCTTATGTTGAGGTTTGATAAGAGATAATTTCAGGAAAGTGAACTTAGGCCAGATGGAGAGGGCTTTGAATGCCAAGCTAAAACATCTGATAATAAACTTTAGTTAGTAGAAGAGCCTTCAAAGGTTTTGGATACTCCCTTAAAGGAATTGCCCTGTTGTTGTTGTTTTGTCCTGTGGTGTTTTGTTTTTGTTTTTTCCTTTTAAGGTATCCCTGTTGGACCAGCCCTTGTTGTATAAACCGAATTCTCTCACATCATTTTGTATCTCTCTCTCTTGTTTTAGAGAACATTCGGTGTGACTCTGACACTCCTTGAGTGTCAAAGCTGCTCTGGGACTATTCAGAAGCTTTCTCCAATAGGTAGTTAAGTTTTCTTTTCTTCCATCCTATTAGTTCTAGTTACATCTCTCAGGGACCATGTGAAACAATTCCACGTTCTCCTCGTGTTTATGTTCTGAGGATGCTTATAGAGTTTCCACATTCCCTCTGCTTTGAGCTTAGCCAAGGTATACATGTTTAATTCCTTTAATCTCTCCCCCTAAGTCACTCCCTCTGGCCTCTTAATCATCCTAATTGCTCTTCTTTGAATGGCAGCCAACTCAGTATGTGCATCTTCCTTGTGAGGCCATGAGGAACATGCTATTCCACGTGTGGTCTCACTAGACCCATATATTACCATCATCTGATGGCTGGACACGTGGGACTGCACCCCTCCTGCTCTCCCCCTTCCCACAGTGCAACCTGGCCTTGGTAAATCCCTTATCCAACAGGTTCTCCTTCCATTTCCAGGTGGCCTTTTCCAAAGCTTGGAACCTGTGTTCACCACATGCTCTCCCCCAAGCTCCCATCCCAGGAGGTCTCTCACTGGAGAAGGTGGCCCAGGACCAGGCCTGAGGATCTGTGGAAAATTGCAGCTAAGCTTGCATAAGTAAATCTTGGAAAGGGGCAGGCTGTGGAGTGCCCAGAATTAGAGGATGCTGCGGCCAGCCATGAGCTCTCTGGCCTGCAACGCTGTGAGCATTGAGGAAGGTGCAACTTGGAGCCTGCTTCCCTGTTTCCAATTATCCTTTTTATCTCTGCTCTGGCCCCTCTCCTTACCTAAGTGTTTTCATAGCTCTCAGCCATTACTGTTCAGCTTTGGGAGGATAAACGTGAAACCAAACAAATTATAAATATCCTGTTTCAAGATGTGTTATCACTCTGTGAATAGAAACCCCCAGAAGCCCGAGTCTTTTGAAAGCTCTAGGTTTTTTTTTTTTTTTTAAGCTTTGGAAAAAAAAAAAAATCCTCTGCCACTCTAAGGATGCGGTGGCAGAGGTTAAACTGCCTTTGAGAAAGCCCAAGGTTTGGACTTCAGGGAGGGCTGACATGGAAACCCACCTGAGGCTTCCTCTGGTGTCTCGGGAGGAAATAAAACCCGAGATGGATGTTCCCGTTGCAAGAGGAAGGGCCGCTCGGTGGGGCGGCAGGTAGGCTGCGCGGCGGGCGGGAGAAACCGCCCCGGGGGCCGCCGCCGACGGAAGTCGAGGGGCAGACGCCCAAGGCCGGAAAGGGCACGACTGCTGCGTGGGTGCCGGTTCCCCGGGGCCGTCCCGGAGCTTCGCGCGGCCGGGGCTCCTGCGCCGCCGCTACCGGAAAGTTGACGTTCTTACTCGGAGCCCTTCGCCCAGCAGCCGAATGAAGAGCCGCCGCTCTCGGGGGCCGCGTCCCGGTCGACCGGAGCGTGGCGGGGGCGCGCCCAGGGGGCACCTCCCTCCGGCCGCCGGGCCCCGCCGCGCTCCCGGCCCCCCCGGGCCGCAGGGCGGCGGCCGGCGAGCGAGGGGAGAGGGGGGCGGCGGCCCCGGCCTCCGCTCCGCCTGGGGCGGGCCGACCCCGACCCCGAGGCAGCTTTGCCCGCCGCTCCGCCTGGGGCGGGCCGACCCCGACCCCGACCCCGAGGCAGCTTTGCCCGCCGCTCCGCCTGGGGCCGAGCGGCCTCAGTCACTCCCCACGTGGGCACGGGAGAACTGCCGGGAACAGAAGTTTTTGTTACTTGGGTTTGGGGGAGGGGGCGGGGGGAGGGGAGAAGAGGGGAGAGTCGTGCGAGAGGAGGAAGACCGAGAAGGGAACCTGGAGGAAGAGGAGGGAAGCGGGCAGGAATCGGGTGGCTTCCACGTTCTCCTGGTGCCTTTCTACACGGATCTCGCCTCAGAGGTGGGCCAGGCTCGTGGGGGGACTAGCCCTTGCCCTCCAGGTGCTTCAGACGCTCCGTGTCTGCTCCGAGTGCCTGAGAATGCCCTAGAAAAGAAATCTGGAGAACGACTCTCTGTGGGATTTTGAGGGCCTCCATCTTGTATGGCCACTGTTCCTCCAAGTCTAGGCTATCCGTACAGTCTAGCTGTCAGATAAAAGAAGGACTCCTCGTTCAATCCGAGTATCAGATAAACAAGGAGAAATTTTTACTCTAAGTGTGTCCCATTCAATATTATCTGTTTTGCTAAATCTGGTAACTGAGTCCGTGTGTATTTATGATTCTTCTGATTCAATGCCTGTCCACACAGCAGCTCTTTGAAGCAGGAAAAGGGCTCCCGCACACCCTACCAGGCATCAGGCCCAATTTCCAGCCTTCCCTTTGTCCCCTCTGAATTTGGTACAAGTTCAGCTTTAGGCCAAACTGTGAGGTGTTTTCTGGGACAGTTGGTGGAGAGAGCTGCGATGGGGGTGCAGATCAAGGGGGCTGTAATTTAGGTCACCTAAGATAGCAATTGGAATTTCCAGCTTGAGATAACACTGGGACTAAGTGCTGTCTTCTCATTTACTGGAGGCATTTACAAGATGTGCTGTGAACGTAAGAGTTAAATAGTAATCGCCTTTTGTAAGCAGCAACTCTAACTGGGGTTTACATTTGGGATTAATAGTAAACTCCCCAGGCCTTACCGACAGAAGAATGTAGTTGCCCGAATAAACAATATTTTGATCAGGACTGAGCACCAATCCTCAGAGCATGCAGCCTTTTCCTAGCAAGGAGCATTTCCCAACTCTGAAGTAATTTGCAATGTGCTGGAAAAACATTTCTTAAAAATGGATATCTTAGATACCATAAAAGGGAAAACAGTTCTCCCTTTTTAAGTAATAAATACCATTTGTAGGAGAATTCCTTCAGTTTGCATTTCTGAATTATTTCCTGATAATGTGAGGCTTACAGTGCTTGAGTGGTGCCTACTGTCTATAGTAAGGAAGAGTCTAATGGAACAGTGTGGGTCTGGGGTTTACTGTCCTCCAAACGTTACACGTTATTCTCGGTACGTGAAACCAAGAAGGCGTCTCGGTTATGGGGCTGGCCATCGAGATGCGGAGTGGAGGGCCCCTCAGTTGGTGGAATTCTGTCCCAGTTTCCCGGTGGCCATTGTTCCTTCGGCCTCCCCAACCAAAGGGGAGGAGTACCTGAGAAATACTTTCCAGTTGCTTTCCTCTCCTTCCCATTCCGACTCCAACATCATAGGCTGGATTTCAGTGAGATACAGCATCTCGACAAAGACAGCCCTTTGACTAGGAATCTGAATGTGCTGAGAAGCACAGAAAACATGTTGTTGTTCTACTGGGAGGTCTCAAACGGCTCCAGGAGGACTCTCTTGGAAAGGCACTGGCCCTGGGTCTACTCCAAAAATGCTGCTCACTCTGCCCCCTGGTGCATGTGTGTGCGACTCATCCAGTCCGGAATTCCTTCCTCCCCACTTCCAGGCGATGTTGTGAGCAGCTTTTGGATGATCCTGTCTTCCTGGGGCCAGTGAATGTTTCTCACTCTGTGGGTCGTGTGCTTAAGGTTGGGGAAACCGAAAACTTGGATTCCTTTGCAGTTCATTCCTTCAACAAATATTTGTTGATTTCCTACTGTGTCCACATCACTTTTCACCAAGCTGTCAAGGGAGTCAGGCTTGGGGATGAATGTGGGGTGCTGAGTCACTGTGGGGAGTGATGTGGGCTAGGGGATGGCAAGGACAGAGAATGGGCACGCTGGAATTTAACAACAGTAAAGCCACTTTATGCCCAATGTCTAGCAGTGTGCCTGGTACAAAGCTAAGGCTCAGAAAGTATTTGTTGAATCTATTTGACAGTGAAATATTCTGGGTGATTAACTTTTTCTTATTATCCCTAAACTAACTTCTTTTCATTTCTTTAAATATTTCCTACCAATCCCTCCTTAGTAACAATGTGTGCCAAAGAAAGCGATTTTTTTTTCCTTGGGGGGTTAAAAACCTTGGAGCGTATCAGATTCATTTTCTGATCTTGGATTGGGTCTGCCTGGTAATGAGTCCTGTGGCAAGGCATTGTAGGAGATGGGATGGGTGTGCACTGACAGAGAGACAGGTCTGGCTTTTTTGAAGAAATCTCTTATGTGAGTTTCTTGGTCGAGATATCTCCCTAAAATTCAGCATATGACGTTTGGGGGCAGGATGGGAAGGAGAGGAAAGCAATTAACTAGAAAATGGGTGTTGCTTAGGAGCCCTGCTTATTTTTTTTTTTTATTTTTAAGATTTTATTTATTTATTTGACAGAGAGAGACACAGCGAGAGAGGGAACACCAAGCAGGGGGAGTGGGAGAGGGAGAAGCAGGCTTCCCGCCAAGCAGGGAGCCCAATGCGGGGCTCGATGCGGGGCTCGATCCCATGACCCTTGGATCATGACCTGAGCCCAAGGCAGACACTTAATGACTGAGCCACCCAGGCGCCCCTAGGAGGAGCCCTGCTTATTAATGAACTGTATGTCTCTATCCCATGGCAACAGGCAGGTGGGTTAGGTTTGTGTGAGAGAAGCAAATGGGCCTCTTCTCAGCTTTTGGCTAGGTGTGAGAACATATCTGGGAGACCCCCATCAAATCCACAAGTCTGGCTGCTCACGCTACATGAAATTTTATAGACAGGTTTGCCCAGGGGTTGACATGAGAAACAATGCTACTGACTATTCAATATTTTTAAACAATTAGATGTTTATTGGGCCTAGACTGCAAAAACATTCCACAGTGCTGGATGTGGTGGGAGGAGGAGAGGAAGGAGAAGACTCTGTCTCTTCCTGTTGGGAGCTTGTAGTATTGTTGCAGATTCAAAGGTAACACAAAGCAATCAAGTGCCATTATGAGATAAGGAATATAGAGAAGGCAGAGAAAGACATGGGTCTCGGGAGCCAGAAAGAGTTGGAAGGCGAGAAGGGCTGCTAGGGATAATAATAAGGTGCCAGGCACTGTGCTGAACAGACTGAGGGGACTGTTTCTATCATCTTCGCTGCAGCTCTGTGGTGGCTGTGCTTTTTGTTGTTCCCATTTTCTACATGAGAAACCTGAGCCTTATTAACATTTAACTTGCCCCAGGTCACTGGGGAGATTAATGGCAACGCTGAGATAAAAACATGTGTACGGAAGGCAAGGAGAGTGGATGACAATTGTAGTTTAGTTGGGGGAAGACAGCATTTCCTCTCCCCCCTCTCTCTATAAAGCGCGGTTGATAATTCCTACCTTTCAAGATTATTAGATGGGATAAATGAGAGTGTTCGTGCACGTTCAGAGCAGCCTGGTGCTCGGTGGGAAGTCAGACGGCATTAGGGAAAAGTGGGGGGCGAGGACAGACATCCCAGCGAGGGAACCAGGACATGACTAATGGGAACAATGGGAAAGGGGATCCGGTTTATAGAGGACCTCAACCAACTAAAAGAGAGGGTGGCAGTTGATGTGTCATTATGTACTTCAACGACAGTGATAGTTCTTTTCTGATTTTGAAAGTAGTATATACTCACAAATAGTTTGGGGAAAAAACCCGGGAAAGTCGAGAGATGAAATAAAATAATTCCACCACTTGTACATAACCACATATAATATTTTTTCTATTATTTAACTTTGATCCTAACTTTATGAAATGTGTTACAAAATACAAAATTATGATCTCAACTTTATGAAATACAGTGTTCATAAATGTATGACATATATATCTACTTACAATATTCTTTATGATTATACTGTGAAGTAAGTTCTGCTTTTTTCACGCTTTTTGAGAACATTTTCCTCACCGCTAGATAGCATTTTTTTTAAAGTATTTAAAGTGAGAGAATATTAATAAAGTCAGAGTACCATAACATATTTAACAATTTCTCTATTATTGGCTATTTAGATTGTTCCCAATCTTTCACTATTAAAAATAGCACTGGGGTGAATATCCTTATTTGCATTTTAAAAAATTATTTCTTTGGGCCGAATTCCTAGAAATGGAGACACTAGGTCAAAAAGTATAAGTGTTTCCCAGGCTCTTGATTCATTTGCCAAATGGCTTTCCAGAAAGGTTGAATCAATTTCTGTTCCCACCAGTGTGTATAAGAGTGCCCATTTTAGGAAGCCCTTGTCCACAATGAGTTTTCCTTTTTAACTGATAATTTCATAGCAAAAAATAGTATCGGGGTGCTTGGGTGGCTCAGTCGTTAAGCGTCTGCCTTCGGCTCAGCTCATGATTCCAGGGTCCTGGGATCAAGCCCCGCATCGGGCTCCCTGCTCGGCAGGGAGCCTGCTTCTCCCTCTCCCACTCCCCCTGCTTGTGTTCCTTCTCTCGCTGTTTCTCTGTCAAATAAATAAATAAAATCTTAAAAAAAAAGAAAGAAAAAATAGTATCTTGTTTTACTTCGTATTTCTTAGATTGTAAGTGAGGTGGAACAGTTTTGCAGCTTATTGGCCATTTGTATTTCTTCTTTCGTGAATTTTCTCTTTGTGTTCTTGACCATTATTCTAGAACAGCACTGTCAAATGGAGACCTGATGTGAGTCATGTACGTATGTTTTTCTAAAGTACAAACCTGGATGAGACAGGGAGCAGGAAGTGGGAAAGGAGTAAAATGGCTTTGCTTTCTCTCAGGCTTCAGTTTCTCAATTTTAGGTGAAAAAAAATATGTCATCTTTTATGGAATTTCTCAATTCAGTTTCAAAGATTTTGTATTTAGTAGAATTTCCTCCCAGATTTGAGAAATAGATTGACTGGCTATCTTGGGTTTTAGTTTTTCTCTGCCCATGGATGTGTTAGCTCATGGGAAAGGTTCTATTAGAAATTATTAATCAAACACCACATGTTTTACTCTAGGTG